CCCAAAGGGTATGGTTTTTCAGCCGTTTTGGTCATAAATAGGGTATAGATTTTAGCTGATTTTGGTCATAAATAGGGTATGGTTTTTGCACTCTAGCTTTCATATGGGTAAGTTTTTAAGAAGAAGCCACTTTTTCATCATTATCGAAGAGAAAAACAACAAAAGCCCTTCACAAATTATGTTTATGGTAACTTAACATTGGTCTGAACTAGGAAACCAATCATAACGCAGGTCTGAAACAAGGTTTTGATGGGTCAGGTCATAAATAGTGTTTCGAATGTTTGGCCAGGTCATAAATAGAGTAGGGAATATCGCAGATTTTGGTCATAAATAGGGTAACGGTTTTGGGAAGCGGGCCGCACACCCCCACTTAATTTTTCTGGAAGTAACCCCCCCCCCGGGGGGGGGGGTAAAGAACAAGGTCTCATACCGTAGTCTTGAATGTTCCTGTGTATTACTGTAAACCTGAACAACTCAAAACAGTTTTAGTTTTATCGAGGACGTTTTTCTCTTTGTGTGTTTGCTCGTTGCTCGTTGCAGAGAAAATTATGATGAGTTGTTTTCTGAAGTGCTGTAAAAAAACCGACATAGCAGTCAAAACATTTGAGAAGAGAAGCTTGCTTTGCTCCGTCCCCAGTTTAATTTATAGATGTAGATGCAGTGGCTACATCACTTTTCAAATTCCCAGACTTTTCCCCGAATAAAAATAAAATCCGGGAATAAAATTTCCCTGAACACATAAATACTGATATGTGAGGTATGGTAGCGGCTTCCGGCCTCCTCCATTTCAGACTGACGAGTTTTCAACACGAACTGGTATAATTTCAATTTTCCCTGGTATTCTTCAAAATGTCAGTTTTCCCAGACTCAAAATAAAATTCCCTGACTTTCCCTGACATTGAGGAATTTTTTTTATTGACAATTTCCTGACCTGTGTCAATTAACCTAATTGAACTGAACGGATAAAATTATTAAGGGCACTATTTTTGACCATACGTCTGCGTGTTGTTTACTGTGGTCATCCTGTTGAGGGTGCACTCCCTTGGGTACCCTGTTTTGTTTACTCAGTTTCTAGCCTCTGTTTACAGCCGAATCGGGATACGAAGCTCTGTCCCGGCAGGCAGCGACCTTTCTCATCGCCATCAGTTCCTTCCATCGCCACCTGTTCCTTTCCTTGACATCAACATATTTTGGTGTTAACCTCTACTCTAGCCTGAAGAATATGTGGCGTATTTTTCGTTTTCAGGCTCGTTGTTTCAAATATTCCGGTGGATTTTCAAGACATATTGTCACAGCACGAGAACTGGAGACATTCCAGAAACAGGGAGTTGTTTGTCTGCGGGGTGTTTTCGGAGAATGGATCGAGAAGTTGGCCACAGGCATCGCCAAAAACCAGGCAAATCCAAGCAAATTCAGTGAAAGACTAACCACCGAGGGATCAACGCAGTCGTTCTACTTCAATGATTACTTCAACTGGCGTCAGATTCCCGAGTTTAGAGAATTCGTATACAAATCTCCGGCTGGGGAAATAGCTGGAAAGTTGATGGAAGCCGAGGTATGTTTTTGCCCCGCTCCGGGCAAAAGATGAGGCATGTTGAAACGATCTGGGTAGACGATTTTGGCCGGGGGTGGGGGCTACTCGTAGTATACGTGACGGTGGTTCCGACGTATTTTTGGGGTTGAAAATTTACACCCTCGGCATTTTTTTGGGTCAAGAAATCTGTCACGTATCTTTTTAGGTCTTAAAAAAATACGCGTATTTTTTTTTTTCTGGAGTTGGGGGTGCGGGGGGGGGGGGGCCAGGTTACATATCTAAGAGCGAGATTTTTGTTGTGAGCAGTGGAACAGAATGTTATGGATGAAAGTAGCACGCTGATGTAGTGATATCAATGAGGACCTGTGTGTAAATGTGGAGCACAAGGGAGAATGAAGAGACATGAAATGAAATGAAATGAAATGACATACTGATTTCAATCGTTGATGCAAAATCATGCATTAGAAAAGTCTGTTTAATGTAATACATCAGTATTGAGGTATTTAAGTCTTGTATCTTTTTAGGTGGGAAATTTTGATGCCAGGTTTTTTTTGGTGTAAAATTTCAGGCTCATGTATTTTATTTGGGTTCACAATATGAAGCTCCGTTGGACCCCCTGTCATGTATATTGCGAGTACCCCCCTGGGGATATTGGCGAATAGCTCTAAACTGCCGATCAGTAATTTCTCTAAATCTAGGTTGAATAAAACAAATGTTTTTTGCCATTCATTTGTCCTAGGCCCCTTGGTGTTTCCATGGCAACCATGGCAGATGTCATTATCTGATGGGAAGTAAAGAGATGGCAAACCTTGAAAATAGGACAAAAGTTTAATTTATAGACACATTCGTAGAACACACAAAATAAATTGTACGTATGGCTTAAAGAATATGAAAATTTCCCACAGATGACAAAATATATTGAGAGAAATATAAGTAGGAGTACTGCAAGGGGGGGAAATGAAAAATAAGGAGGTTCAAAAAATTGTATAACTGAAATCTCACATGTAATCTGTTTGACAGTATGCAGTATTTTATCATGAACACGTCTTCACTAAAGATCCTGGTACAAATAAGGCAACACCATGGCACCATGACCAGGCTTATTATCCCATGGATGGATGGAAGGTAACATCAAATGAAATGACATGCAACTCCAGTTAACACGTATATTTTATCAAGCGAGCTTTTGGCTGTCCTCAAATTTTTTTTTATCCAATTATTTCCAGATCAGCACATGGTCTTACTACATACAGTCGAACCTCTCCACAACAGCCACCTTGGGGACAGAGAAAAGTGGCCGCTGTAGAGGGGTGGCCATTCTGAGGAAGTAGGGGTGTAACATGACACCTGTTTTAAAAAATTTAAAAAATGCTCATTTTAGAATATAAACTGTTCATAGCACAATCAAAATATGTCACTAAAACTAAAACTAAACAGAAACAGTCAATGGTTAATTGGCCCTTGGCAAGAGGTCATTTTGGTAGTCAGGACTTATTTTAATGGCCGTTGCTGTTGTAGAGCAATGGCCATTGTAGAGAGGTTAAAATAAGAGTGAATGTATGGACTGTCCACCCTGACCAAAAAAACACAGCCATTGTAGAGAGGTGGCCGTTAGTTGAGGTTTGACTGTATATAAATGGAAAACAAAGGCTGGGCTATGGATTTCTGGGTTTTAGTTTTTGAAAGGCAAAGTAACAAAAATTGTAAAACTTAGTAATGACAACTGAGCAGTTTAAATTCATTGAAATTCCATATGTTAATTAGTAAAAACTTTAATAAAATTATTTTAAGAGTTCGTTTTCTGATATATTGAAGGTTCATCTCTCTTCTTTTGAAAAAGATAAGGGTATCCAACTTGACCACTAAGATACTAGTATGCAACAACAGAATTGTTCTGGCATCATTCTTTTTTTTTTGGTGGATCATTTTTGGCCAGTTTAAGAAAATTAAAAAATTAACAATTATTCACCGAAGTGGACGGTGAATAGTGGTGGATATTTACTGAGCCGCGAAGCAGCAAGGTTAATATCCATCACTTTCACTGACACTGAGGTGAATAATTGTTTTAGTATATACCACACAAGCTGAATAATTAGCGGACCAAAATGTTATTTTATGTGTGACAAGCGGTTGGAAATTTTAAAATCTCTCGCACCGGCTGTTNGTGTGGTATATACTAAAATAAAATATCATTTCCCTGTTGACAGAACTGTTCTTTATGGATACCTGTAACACCTGTGTCTAAAGCATCATGTCTGAAATATGTTGGTGGATCACACAAGTGGGGAAAATGGTTTATTCCAAGAAAGTTTGCATCATCAAATAACTATAAGTACACAGACCCAAACATTGAGAATACTGACAAGGCTTTTGAAGACATCCCTGATATTGATGCCCATCCAGAAAAATATCAGCTGTCTGCTTGGGATCTGGAGGTAATGACTAACTTAAAACAGGAAGGTTGGCTTGGCAATGAGAACAATTACTAAACAAATATTTTTGGACAACAATTTAGCCAATTTTTTCGCATTTCTATCTGGGATTTGAATGTTGACGAGGAACGTTCTGACGCCGATAACACACTTGATGGATTTAGCCAATCTTGAGATTATAAGGAAAATATAAATTTTAAAATCCTTGTTTGCATTGTCCTCAGCATGGCCATCGTGATTGCTTAAGTTGTTACCTCATGGGTAAATACAATAAATGTCAATTAATGTCTTCTAGCTGAAGGTAGTAAAGCAACAGTCACACAAAGCACATTCAGTTTCTTTCCTTTTTCCTTCTTTTTTTCTTTTTTTTCATTTCTTTAGAAAAAAGGTAGCCCACCCTGAGGCCATAGTGATGTTTCTGAGTCAAACAAAGTTCCACCTCAGAGAATGGATATTAATCGTAACATGAATTAAAGTGACAAAAATTGGACCAAATTTGATGTTTAAAAAGTTTGACTAAAATAAATTCTAATCAATTGTATCAGGCTTGAGATACTCTGTAAACTGCATTTTGAAAACTCCTAGCATCTGTCATCATTCTCTAGTGTTATTGTAGGTAACTATCTCATAGTTTACATTTTCATTTACATTTTCATTCTTGCCTTGATTTAACAGCCTGGAGATTGTATAGCATTCCACATGCGAACCCTTCATGGAGCAAAGCAGAGTGTAGACACAGCTGGCAGACAAGTGGTCGCCACACGCTGGCTGGGAGAAGATGCAACATTTGCAGAGAGGCCTTGGGAGCCGTCACCAAACTATACTGGAGGATTAAAACCTGGTGAACCTTTCTACACAAGTGATGCTTTTCCAATTGTGTGGAGACTGAACAAGTGAACAGAAGTGTTTCCTCAAGACTGTAACAGTGGTACAGCAGGGACTGACTATCCAAGACCTCCACCTCTTTGGTGAAAACATCTAGTCCAAATGGCAAAATATGCGCTCTGTTATTATTTGTTTCCGCACGCCTGTATTAAAAGGGGTATACATGTATCTGGATTTGAACACAGTCTTTTACATTGGTGATTAAGTAGTCTTCCCTGACTTAAAAAGGTTATTTATACAATGTAGTTTGATGCATATTCTCAGTTATAATAAATGGATTTATCAGCATAAACTTCAATCGGTGTCATGACGTTGTCTTCTTTGTCGTGGTCTTTCATTGTCCATCCTGCCTCCGTGTTTTGATGTCCTTGGGCTGTCAAGATCAGACGAGTCATGACGCCTTCTGGACTGTTTTTCTTTTTCATCAGATGATTCACTCTCAGAGGAAGAATCATGTCTCTTATGTTTAGAATTCTTATCAAGTTTGGAGTCAAGATCAGTTTTTCTTTTCCTTGTGTGTGTAGAAGTCTTATCATACTCCTTCATGTCAGTCTCTTCATGATAATGCCTTCTTTTCCTGTTTTTGCTCTCCTTTGAAGTTGAATTGTCATCAGCATGGCTTTTTTTCTTGTGTTTCTTTTCTTTTTTGGATTTCTTTTCTTTTTTAGCTTTCTTTTTCTTTGTTTTTTCCCTGGAATTATCATCTTCTGTACAACTCCTTTCAAGTTGTTGAGTCTTCTGAAAGCTTTTAGTGACAGGATCTGCATCACCTTCCTATCAAGATTAGAACTTTTTGTATCAGTAATAAACTAATAAATGACAAAAAATTCTTATGCATAATTACCTCGCATGAACAAAAATTACCCATTGCAAAAAGTCTTGCTTACATTAAAGTTTCTCACACCTCAGGCACCTTCATGTTGTTCTCAAATTTAAATTCTTTTCATTGTTGCCTCTTTGGGATGTTGCATGATAAAATTTAGGCTTAGTGGTAAAATTTGCAAGACAATTAGGGCTATTAGACTGTTATTTGACTCATACTCAATTTTAAGCTCTTTTAGAGGATGACAACTGAGCTCCCAAAAATGCTGGGAATTGGGCCTAACCTGACTCAAGCCTTCTATGAGCAAATACATGTACTCTTAAACATGACATCATATTGACAATCACATGCAACAAAAAGAGCAAGTGATCAGTTTCAAAGGACATTTCCAGGCTATTTTCACACAGAATTGTAATCTTATATAAAATATAAGAAAATAACCTGAATAAGTAAACTCTCAGTCAAAGATATTTCCACACTAAAGATGGTGAGGTCCTACACATCTCCCAAAAAAATTTGATTATCTTTTAATAAAATATCTCTTCACATTCATCTGCATTACAATTGCGCAACTACTAACAAGATTTAAAATAACATAACTGGTACAGGGTGTGGGGACGTAATAACTGAAAATATGAAAATAGTTTCAAACCCTCTGACCTGCTGTGGGCCTGTGGCTCCAAGAGTTTCCTTTACCGGCACAGACAGCCCATCCATGAGACGAGCTCTTGAGCTGTTCAGAAAAAGGAAATTAATGCGAAGATAACAGTGTTGCAGCATTTACTTTAGATCAAACAGTTTCTACTATCTAATTAGTCATCAATTTGTTCATATAATTTTGGTTGCAGTAAAATAAAATAGGATTCCTCTTGTATGGCATCTTTTCCAATGTCTTCCAAACCCAGTAATGTACATGTACATATAATAAAGACAACAGTAATGAATCCATAGAGCATTCATTTAAGTCTATGGTTTATAGCACAATATGTAAATTGTAAGGTTGTGGCTATTCTGCAATCAAAACATGAAGCATCCTTGGCTATTTTAGAAACTTCAAGTGAATCATGGACATAATACTTACAGATGTTTCATACTAGTAGCTTTAAGCTTAGGAACATTAAAATGAAATCATGAACACATTAAAATATTATTATGCACCTTCCGAATCCCATGCCTTCCACCCTTTCAATGTCCATGGAGTCACGCTCAACTTGGCCTTTACGGCAAACTTCAGCCAATTCCTTACATGTAAATTGCAAATACAAATTAGCTTTACATGCTGATTCCTTACTGATGGAAAAGATTTAAAAAAAAAAACATCTACTCTAGGTCAGAGTGTGTAGATCAAGACCTGTTTTGTAACTCCAGTTGCAACTTTCTTGCCAGATCCCTTCCCTCTGCAAAAACACAAGTGAGGCATTAGCAAGAAAACATGTTCATCAAAATGAAGTGATCAAACAATCAATATCAAACAGTGTGGGAATCTATTTTTTGTTGAACCCAATAAGCTGTAACACCTGAGAGGGGTGTCACAAGCGAATGGTATGGCTTTGTCTTAAACTTGTGCATTAACACAATGTAAAGAAGACTTTTCTTTTGCACACATATAAGGAAATGCCAAAGTTGATGAAAAAAGGTAATGCTAGCAACTTCATTTGTTCATCATTTGTAGCATCACAACTATCAAGAACCTTGTAACCTTGTTGTTGAGAATATCATGAGAAGTATGAATACAAATGGTTAGTTTTCTCAACCATGCTGTTTGCTTGTTTGTTTGTTTGTTTGCTTGCTTGTTTGTGTTTAGGTCAGTCTATTTATAGTCATGTAAAAGCAATCATCTTTCAGTCTGATAATCCAAAAAACTACTGACACCTCTTTATCAGTCTTGAACATGTAAAGTTATGACTTGGAAGGGAGACAATAATAATATTGCTATATACATGAATGGTGTTAAATAATATATTATTTGTCTTACAATGCTATTGCCAATGCTTCAGCCTCCATTTTCTTTATGGCATCTTTTTCCTATGGACCAGATTTGACATCAAAAATATGAATTACATTTCTTCATCTCAACTTTCAAAACTGTGACTTTTACTGCAAAAGTATAGCCTGCGTAGCAGGCGTATAAAGGGGAGGGGGTGGGGGAGGAGGAAGAGAATTCGGGGGAAAAAAAAACAGAGGAGGGGGGGGAAATCTCTTCTTCTCCTCCACCCCCTCCCCTTTATACGCCTGATAAGCAGGCTAGCAAAAGCATGGCTCCGAATGCTCACAATCTGCAGAGTTGTTAAATAGTATTCTTAAATAGCTAATAGCTTCTTTGTGGCTGACATGTGGAATAGGTCACTGCCCACTTTTAAGAAATTAGTCTTTTTAAAATTGTGAAATGTAAGTATGGATACAAATGCTATATCACTGAGGTGAATATACTGTACCGACCTATAAAGTATGTAAATTACCTGTTGCTTTGACACTGTTGAACTTCCTTTGCCACTTTTTGTGTACCTAGAGAAATTAACAAAAGTGAAATGTGATTTACAGTACGTACTCTATCCAACATGGCTATACATTCTAGTTATAAAACACGTTCTTGTGGTATATGAGGGATTGTTGCACAAGTCACTTGTACTTTCGCAGTATACAAATGAGCCATAAGGCAAGTGTGTATACCAAGAAAATACAAGCGACAAGTGGGATAATCCATGACATACCACAAGAAAGCATTACATAACTATTTTATACCATGCAATAGAAAATAGAGTGGCCAACACATATGTAGAGGGTACGATTGGCAGGTTGGGGATAATACCGTGGAGTATACAACAGTCTTCCTGTATTCTGATTGGCTCTATTTTCTATGGCAAGATATAAATCTTATTATTAACCAAAGGTGAGAGCCATGTCTAGTGGATCAAGTGTAGTGAGGTCTGTACAGAAATGACCCAGGCCCAGTATTCTCTCTGTGTGGTCCAAAGCAATCTTGACACGAAATTTAAAACACAACTTCAAAAACCTTCCCAATTACACAACTATTATACAGTGTAAATTGTAGGTAAAGGTAAAGTCTGTATATGCACCAGGTAACCCCTCAGGCCTAGGCTTATCTTCAGTTTCTGTCGCATGAGGTGACTAGGAGTGTGAATGGGATACTAGTCCATCACAGGGTATTACATTTGCCAGTACTTATTCTTATTATATGGCCAGCTCCATGAGCGGGCAAGATGAATCAAATCCTGCGCTGTGATTGGCTACATGAGCGGGCAAGATGGAGCTATCTTGCCCGCTCGGGACTACCCTCTGTGTCCAGCAAGAAAAATTTCCCCAAAAACCATATAATAAATCCTTTATTGACCAAGCTTTTTCTGTCAAGATCACTGGACACTGGCCTCGCTCTTTTTTTGCACGTTTATGGACCTCGACTCCGTCCATAAACACGCAAAAAAAAAAAACTTGGCCAATATCCAGCCATCTTGACCTCACACCTGGGTGGAGAGACGCACTGTGAGAGTAAGCAATAGTGTCTTACCCAAGAACACAACACAACGTCCTCAGGCCAAGGCTCAAACCTGCACCACTCAATCCAGAGTCGAGCACACTAACCATGAGACCATCGTGCCTTCACAGTGTTGATATCGGCTTGAATTCGAACTGGTTTTTTGTTTGATCACTTGACTGAGATCAACACAGGAAAGTAACTGGGGCTAACTATGACTGTTGCTAGTTTTCATTACCAGTGAAGATCCTTTCCTTTTTGCCACCTTCCCACAGGAGCCTTCACTGAATGACCTTTTGTGAGATAAAAATATAATTTTGTAATGTTTTAGAAAACGTATTTAACTGATGCCGTGATACCAATAAATGTGAGCCACATTAAAATAAATTTAACACTGTGAAGTTGTCTGAAAAAATACCAAGGGTTCTAAGTTCATTTTTTTTTCCGAGATTCCATAATTAAATAAGAATTTGAACTGAATAAAGAATAGCAATTAAAGCCCTAAATCTTCAATTCACCTAAATAACTTTCTCTGTACTTATCAGCTTTCACATCTTCCCAATCGAACTGGTCTTGTCCTCCACGAACTCCGCCTCTTGAAGGATGGTACATTGTGCTAATGTTGTTTTGCAAAGGAAACTCGACGCACTTTTTCCGAATAAAAACGTAAAAAAGTATTGTTCAACTACAACGTTTTGAAACCGTTTTGGCCGCCGCCATCTTGTCCTATCTTCTAGTACCCGGGCTTCCTCGGCCAAAAAATTCGGCTCCCGCCGTTTTTTTGGGCTCTTCTCTATCAAGCTCTCTCTCAAGTCCTCTCTTTATGAAGGGAAAAGCGGAATTCAAAAACGTCGTTTAAATCAAGTTAAATCGGCAAAATAACCACACCAGGAGCAAAGAACACACGTATGGAATAAGGTAAGCCATTTTTATTGAGAATTTTCACTTAAACTACCTCCATGGATATCTTGTAGAAAATCCCATATTAACCCTTATAATTCGATGTCATATCGTGTCGCTTGTGTGGTTCATAGAGAGAGCTTGGGCTGCCTGTGCGAGCGCACGCATTCGATCGTGACCGGAAAGTATGGTGAGTGACGCACACACAGTTGCAGAGAGGGCTGAAGGAAGACGACAAAATATGGCTTTAGTTGGGTAGCTGAATCAATGACTAGATCGAGGTCACACCTAAAATGAGAAGTTATATCCGAGGAAGATCAAGAGTTATCATAACCCACTAAGAGCTGATCTCAAATAATTTGGTTTTCCAGCTACGGTAGTTAAGCTGCGGATGTTATTTTGGATTTTTGGAGTCAAAATATTACAAAGAAGTATATTAAGCTCTAGTTGTTTGTTCGCCTCTGTCTCTGACTGGTTATGTCATGATTACGTTCTCGATAATCATTACTGTTTTAGTTTAAGTTTACAAAAGCTTTTGAAACACTCTATGTTTTTATGATCATGCAAGCAAAGCTAGTTGTTGTTGCTGTTTTTGTTGTTGTGACCACAGTAAAACAAATTGACGTCAGTTTTTCATGCGTCTGTCCCGTTATCCGGGAGCGAAGAAGGACGGCTGTTTTCGCAGGCTAATCCTGTTATTGATCATGAATTTCGTCATAACATTGTCAAAGTAGCTGTGGATCCACGAGGCGATAGCCGACGTGCATAATGGTTCTCAGATCGCAAAGAAAATAAGACTCTGAGCCCGAGAATTTTTTCATGATCAATGAAATGCACAAATTATGATAGTTTTGTTTGCAAATGATGTCATGATCGGTTCAATTAAATTCGACTCCAATCGAATCCTGTTCGTAAATTTCACAGCTTCCACTTGATTTCATTTTCATTTGTAATTTATATCAGGCATTTCGAGAGATCGTATTAACAGGTTTAATAATCGTGTCCAAATAAAATTTAGGTTGGATACGGGATACGAGGTACAAGGTGATCGTTGCTGGTGTTTCAAAATAACCTGCTTTTCACGTAAGGAACTGTCCGGGACTTTGTTGAGAAAAGCGGCCAAATAAATAACTAGGTGAGAGGGCTTTGAGGCCTTGGAATAGAGCGTTTACACATGACGTCACGGCAGCCATATTGGTGTTCCAAAGCAATCCTGTGGGAATTGAACTCTTTTCTTTTGTAAACGCTTCCTTTTGTTTCAATAAATTTGCATGGCTCCAGACCACGTGAGTGAAAACGCTCTATAGAGACCGCTGGCGCCATTACACTATATACTGCTGTAAATCCCAGTTTAATATCAGAATACGCTCGGCGGGTCATTTCGATTCAGACAGTTCCATGCAGTCTCGTTTTATGATCCCGCAATATACATGACATAGTTTGCCTAGGTTGTCAATGACTTGACTCAATTTTCTGATTTGGCGGTAGCAACTCTTTTGAAGACGCATAATACATTTAAAACACTTCAACTGGGTTCAAAACAATACTTCGATCTCGGTGCATCCTGTCAATTAGTCAAATCGCTAAAAGGAAGCGAGTGATTGCCGAATGACTTGAAACGTGACAATTTTTTCTGGCTAGATTTTTCTCACTTTGACTTCGCTCCTACTCAGTAAGCCGCTAAAGTTTCTCCTACTAGACGGTTTCTATTTCTCGATATAAATATACCTCAAAAATAAATAGAAGAAACGAAAAAGTTATCAGAGATGGGCGTACAGGAACACAATACTCAAGAAGAGAAAATTCTTCAAAACCGTGCGTCGCATTTTGACGGCTAAGTAGAAAATCCAAATCGAAAATTATCTGACGGTATTTTCAATCACCCGCCAGGTTCCACCTGCACTTGACAGTAGCACGTCATCGGTGAGCGGTAATTCTTCCACTGTAAAAATTTCATAAACCTTTTGCTTTCATCGCTTTTTAGATAAGCGAAGGCTTTAATCAACATTTTACCCTAATGCAATTTATATTAACCCTCGCAAAACGATTCCGCAAGTGGGTTCTTTCCCGGTTCTTCCTGAATTAAATTGCAAATATGGATTTTTTTTTCCCCTCTCCTTCTGTCCCACTTGGATGTTGAAACTGAATACTTCATACAAGAATTATCATCTCAAATCGAATGTTGCCACATTTTTGGCGATGGTATAGAGTTTCGTGATCAATATGACGACCATGATGTCTTTTCAAAGCCTTTCGATAAAACTTTTTAAGAGCTGTTAACAAAGCTCTTTGTTGCTTTTAGACGAAGAAAAACATTAAAAGTACTATGATCTTCGCGTTGCATCTCGATCAAAAGGAAGCGACAAAAGAAATAGGATCAGACAGCCTTGATTGAAAAACCCGACACAAATGTGTCTAGGAATTATGTATGAATAGATTTTCATTTATTAGTCATATTTGTTGTCAGTAGTTTCTTGCAGTGTATACCGAACAATTTTTCTTTTCTGGAATTAAACGCACAAGAATTTTCAAAACCCTTTTCCTATGCAAATTTCCTGTGCGATCTATTTTCATCTATGACCGATCGTTTATAAGCTTTTTAAGTGACTCTGACATAATTTGTTTCGAGTCTCGTTTCACCTCTTGGGCGGAAATATATCGAACGATACATGTAAGTCTGGCAAAGCAGCCTGTGATTGGCCAAACCCAGGATGATTTGTCCCCAAGAGGGTGTCATGACTAAATAAGTCTCGTTGCCATTGGCAACTGCTCGGTCATGTGGTTCTAAACCCGCGTAACATAAAAACAAATACGACTCGAGTCACACAATCGATTTCATTTTTTGTGAACTCGCCAATGCGTTGCCACCTGCTCACAGCCACGGTCTGTTTTGAGTCGTAGCTTGTAGCGCGCACGCCAAACTAGCGAGGAGTGTGATACCAAGTATCTTTCTACCCGTTTCCAACAGAGAAAGGCTTCATCCGTTTTCTTCAAGGATGGGTGCCACACTTTCCATTAATCGGAAAGATTTGCTCCACGAATATTCCATATGGAATCTCAAAGCTCGCGAGAGCGCCAAATCGTACCACTGCAAGTACTGTTATCATGTCACTAGCGACGTCCATGCCAAAGAGAACAAGGCGCCGCAAACGACGTGTGACGCGCTTGCCGCGTACCTCCACAAATGCGCCAATGTAGGCAAGAAGAAGATGAAGTCCAAAATCGAACCAGCACCGGCGAAATCTAACAAGCCTAAGGAAAGCGAAACAGAGAAAACCGACGCAGCACCGCCGGTTCTCGGGCAGAACCGAGAAGTTAAACTGCCAATCACTTCGACAGACTCCAAGCAAGTTGTCAGCGAGGTCGTTGCTGTTCCTTCTACGAAGGCCAAACAGCCGATTTCTTCGTTTATGATCAGCAGCGACGCCCTGCGCTGTCTTGGAAACTTCGTCCGCTGCCACTGCAAGAATATAACGCGATTCCGCGCGTCAGAAGTGATTTTATGGCTGCGAGGAGTTGACAGGGCGTTACTCTTGCAAGGATGGCAGGATCAAGCTTTTCTGACACCACCCAATCTTGTCTTCTTATTTATGCTGCTTAAAGAAACTCTGTCGGACAAAATCCCAAACCAAGCTCAGTTGCGCGCGGAAATTTTAACATGCCTCTACATGGCATACACGTACAATGGCCCGGAAATAAGCTACCCGTTAAAGCCATTTCTCGTGGATGGAGACCGGCGAGCGTTCTGGGACCGATGTATGCTTATAACAAACAACTTGAGCGATAAAATGCTCCAGATGAACAGAGAGCCGAAATTCTTTGGTGAACTCTTGGTGGAATTAAAAAATTACAGTGGAACTGTCATTGACAGAAGAGATGGCTAGGAAAAATATACCGAGCCCTTTGCTTATTGGAAACTGAAGTGTTCTTCTGGCTTCAAAAACTAAGGGGTAAATAATTTTCGTGACCAATACAAACTACAAGGTAAAAAAAATTGAATCGGGCTAGAATTAAATGTAGAGTATATTCTAAATAACTTTGAGGAGGTTTCAATACTAACAATGTGCGTCGCTTTTCATCAAAACTAAACTTCCCTCTGTTTTGAAACATTGCAGCTGATTTTCTACAGTTCATAACTAATTCAGTGTGTCTTGGCTTTGAAAAATTACAATAGCACAGTAAACAAGACGCTGCAAAACTACCACTCCTGACCTTCAATGCATTTGGGTTTTTGCCTGTTAATTTTTCCGGTCAAATAATTCAGCGTAGAGTGAATCACCTTGCCGAGGATGGACGACTAATGGGGAAAAACTGTGCGGTTTCTTTCGTTTATAAATATGAAATGAAAGTCAAGTTTACCTAGTTGAAACGCGCTACATCCTTCTTGATAATTCTTTTTTTGAAAAAGTAAGTTGTTTTGAGCGATAAAAGGAGTAGCTCGCAAAACATAGATCGCCGATGTGTATGTAAAATAGAGATTTTATTCAAAACAAAAGAAAATGATGATTAAAATGTTTATTTATAACAAAACATCTGTTTCGTGGGGCTTATGCTTTCAGAAGTTGAACTGAAAAGGGTTTGAGAATGAAAACCCGCTTGAATTTCATTATATAAATAAAAGCTGACTCTCAGTAAGTCCCGTGTTTCATCTTAGTTGTCAAACAACACAGGAAGTTTTCCTTCTTTCCTTTTTCTTCTATTCGATGTTTCTACGAAGACGGAAGACCGGCAAAGTAGGCCACAACTGATTCGCGTTTTGATTAAGCTTGCTGATGGTCTCGCAATTCAACTTCCTCTCGCGCACAACTTCGAACCAGAAAAAAAGGGTCTGCTCTGAACGTTTGATTTTTAATAATACGAACATGATATGTGTAGCATTTCAATCAACCACGCAAAAGTAGAGATAAAGAAAACCTTAAGCTTGCGCGGTTAATTGATTCCGCGCTGAATCATTTTCATGGCCGCTTATCTCTCGTTCAATAGTCACAAAACTGAATTCGACATCTTCCCTGGAAAGTAGCCATTCTTTTGTTTTTCACCATTCCCTTGGTTGTATATATTTGCGTCCCACCCGCCGTCAAATTTTTAATCGAAAACCTGCGACACGGTTAATATAATGCAAAAAATCATTTGCAGCAAGTTAATCCGCAAAGAATACGTTTCTTTGTTGTAATATTATTCGCTTGTTTTCGCGCGGATTAAGCTAAGAAGAAATGGCTGCTTCCATTATACTCATCTTAAAGTCATATCTTTAGATTCTGACGTTACTCAGAATTAATACACATTCAATGTTTTCGCATTTCTTTGAATTCGTCATTTCTATTATTAAAAACGTTCATCGATTTAACGCTTCCAGCGAATTCTGACAAAACCGAATGCTAATTTCATTATTGTGCAGATTGTCCAAGAAGCATCGACAGAAGCTTTCCGGGCGTTAAAATTCAGGTTTTAAAATACCAATGCTATGAATTGCGCGCGTGGACTATATTTCCAAGGTTAAAAGCTAAATTATAATAAATGGCAATTCTGTTTCCTTTAAAAATATGGGAAGCACATGTGGAAATATTCGTTACAAATTTTGTTTTGCTCAGTTTTGTGTGATTAGCACGCCAACGCTAGTAAAGTCGATAACCCCCTTATTGCATAAAAATCAAACCAAACATGAACTTTCGCGCACGACAAGAGTTTCTCAAAATGTGTATTTTTCATTCTGTATTCGTTCAGATTTGCTTGCCCACGATTGTTAATTTTTAAGGCTGTCTTTAAAGAGTCCCGACAATTTAATAACAGACTCTAATATGGGAAAAGAAACCATTCTGCCCTTATGTCGCTTTGCGGAAAAGTTCGTTGCGAAAAAATGACTAACTTAGCCCGTTCAATGGCTTTTGGCCAGAACGACGCTATAGATGACGGATAAAATTTGGAGTTGCACACATGAAAACGCAAAGGGACAGGTTTTATATATGTTTATGAAATGGTCGAGCTGTTTGTTTATAAAATGGCATTACACTTGAGCATAAATTATAATTCCTGATCACAACAGTTTTAAAACCATTCCGGACTTATATGACTAATTGAGCGACAAACTGACAACAATATAAGTCGGACTTTGGCAAAAACAGACTCTCGCGAAAAAAAAAAAAAAAGGAAATGCCTCCAGAATTGAAAAAAAAAAGTATAATAATAAAAATTTTGCATAGTAAATGGTTTGAACCCAGGAGAAACGTCAGCCACCAGCAACAGTTCTTTTCAGAACTACCCTCACCCGGACGATCACACTGTACGAACTAATAAAAATTCTACTAAACTTTATTCTCTCCCAACGATTTTTCCTTCAACATATTTTTCGCGTCAAAAGTGCATTCAGCGACTTTTCGATCATTTTCTGATGTTTATTTCTATTTTTAAATATGAGCCAGTCTAATATTAGTTCTCCTTTCTGACAATCAAAAACTATGACAGGCTATAATGGCGGGTTCCACCTAGTTCCAGTTGAAGCAATGGAATATGAGCTGCAGTGACCTTAACGTAAACACGTAAAGATGAAGCGCCTGGCTTGATTAAAATCCGTCTTTAGCAATTACACCATAGGTAATAGTGAGAGCAATTTCAAACCACAAAAATGCTTCAAAATTGACAAACATGTGCCAATTAGCCAGTCACAAGCGAGCTATTGCCTTACGAAAATGGAATCATTAGGAAGACGAGAGGAAACAATTTTAAAAAGGCCATTACTGAAATGAGAGCTCGCTATGAAGTGTTTCCTGGGGTTTTCAGACTGACGCTCAGCGCTGAAGGAAATAACAAGTCAAATAATACTCATTAAATAAGTTTGATTGCAAAAAAAGTTCTTCCTGTCGTATACCAACGGTACAGTTTTTTAGTAAACGTTTTTCAAATATGACTCACTAAGGTCCAACACAGAGAAAAACCTATCTCATTTCGTCATGGTCAATCCACAGAACAGAAAAAAGAACATTTGTTGTTTTTAATTAGAAAAAAGTATAAACATTTCAGTTTCTGGTTTCAAAGGAACTAGGTGGGGTTAGAAAAAAGAAAACCCCAAAGATTCACTTTTGATTTACAAACTACCGTGAATAATCATAAATGTACAGATGTATGTATCTATCTCTTAAGACGAAGAAGTTGACTATTCTCTTATCACACCGTCACAGCTTATTCTTACTCGGAGAGTATGCAATGAAACTTTGCATGTTACAATCAACATCCAATCAGGATGTAACAGAAAATGTAAGATCCCCATCGAGTGAAAAGTAATGTTATGTTGATAAATAAACTTAATGCGACGAAACCTTTCAACCTTATTTCTGGCTTAGACCACTAACACAATCTGTTTGGAAAAATACAAAATACTATAGATAATTTTAGCAATTTGAAACAGAATGCCTAGCTCGAAAATCAATGTTGAAGACTTTGCCACTGCGAAAAACAAAACAAAAACAAGTATATGCAATATTAATCAAACTATATTCTAAAAGACAATCACATTTAAACGAGCTGAGATTACTTACTTTGAATAATAACGATTGAATGCTTGATTTTTAAATAAAATTCTAAAAATACAGACATTATTTCCAGGGACCGGATTTTGTTTTGAGTCAGGAGAACTTTCGTCAACCCCCACAGTGAGGTGTATCAGTAATTATAAATTTGCAATATGTTTTTAAGTGCCACCTTTGTAATCTACAATACTATTAAACCCCCGAGGAAGTTTCTTTTTGAATGCATTCGGTCTTATCAAGTTCCGTCAAGATTAAAAATATAGCTGTTGCATTTGCAATTTTATATAATAAGCGCACATGAAATTTGCTAAGTCTTTTATACTGTAAATCGGAACTAGTTTCATGCAGTAGAAGTTTACAAACTTTTGGTTAAAGATAATTTGACGTTTATTTGTATGGTAATGACACTCTAACACGCGTTTTCAAATTCAGTAAGATTTTTTCAAACAAGTAGCATTACAGTAATCAAGTTAAAAGCATATAGTGTCAATTTCTTCATCATACGATTATTAAAATAACACAGACAAAAACTGCTGATGGAATGGTCTTAACTTTTTTAAAAGCTCATTCGAGCCGATGTCAAATCCCTCAGGCAGAAACATTCATGGTTTGATGGTTTCACTTTTAAAAGTGCACTTTGAGATGATAGTCTCCCGCCATTTAAAACTGCCAAAAGGAAAATCTCGTTCCATCATTTGCGTGAAGCGAATCATGTTTTCAGAAAGTTTGAGATTCCTCCAATTTTTGACTGCGTTTAAATGACTTGCAAAGATCATCAAAATTAAACCGAGCGCTTGCTTTATGCGATAAAACGTGAATGAAGTAAACCAATTAAAACTGCCACGGTAGTTGAAATTTTGAAAAGACAGTTAATAGCAAATGGAAAGAGCAACAATGAGAGGAAGTTTTTACTACATGTTGTGATTGGTGCATTATAAAACTTGCGTAATAAACAGTAGAGAGGACACCACGCTTTACTCAGCAGGACAAGAATTCTGTCAAAAAAGTGATTGACGAAAATGACTTACGTAAGTCGAAGCACGGTTGGTGCACGTTTTCCCAATCACTGCAAACACACGCACTTTAAAATCTCTCACGTTCCACGGAACAAGTGCCAATTCTTTTGACCTCAAATTCTGTTGAAGCAAACAACTGTCTCTAGAACAAAACTGACAATGACCGCACCAAAAATCAAAAACAATTCTCTGACGACAGTGCGGTTTCACAGCTGAAAACTATAGCCGAGAACAATCTCATATATTACCATTTTAAAAACACGGGAAAACATAACTCGGGGCGTCAGGATGACGATGCAATGCTGAGATTTATCAAAATTTTGATGAACAAAATAAACCCCACATTTGTCAAGATTTGGTTGAAATGAGTTAAATGCATTAGAAGTTGTGACAAATACTTTTTGGCCACTGCCAACGCTTCGCGTGCACTCGTGTAAGAGCGTCAGTTTTCCATACGAAAGCCAAAGAGCATGAAATATTAACGAGCTCATGGGTACCCCTGTATTTTCGCGAAAAGACTCAAGCTGTTGCCTCCTTGTTTTCATGCCGTGAATGAAATGATACCCAATTAGTAGAACAAGTGCCACTGACGTTCTCGCACGTACAAGAATTGTTCTCGCACGCACATTTCGGAAACAAATAAAAAATAGCTCACTTATAGTTTAAATACTACAGCGCGAGACCAATCAATATGCTTTCATCTGATTGGCTAAGAAAAACTTCGGTATGGTTGTCATGCCAACTGATCGCGCTTAATTGCTTTTCTCGAGAACATGATCAGAGCGATTTCCGTCAGAGGAAGAATTTCTATAAAATTCTCGTGGAAGCAGTCTATTATTTCCTAAATAAAAAAAAAAAAGAAAATTAAACCTGGACAAAAGACGTGAGAAATCCCACTTGGTTGAAAGGGTTCAGTTTTTTTTGGTCCCATGAAAAACGGGCAATACTTCACATCAAGCTGACATATAGCCTGATTCTCAGAGGTCCGAGGTCGTTCGCGGCCACTTCGCTTCTCCTCTCTCCCTCGTGACGTCTGAGAATCAGACATACTACGTTTCTACTAAATGCATTTCCTCGATTAAAAGCGGAGGCGACGGTTTATTGAAACTTTGACCTGGTAGTTTTTTCTTGATCACATTTGAGAGCTCTATTATCTTTATACCTATAGGCCTCTAAATTAAAAAAAAAAAAAAACAAATCCAAAATCCATAAAACGATGTTCCGTTCTTAGTCAATAAACTCTTAACGGCGCGGACAAATAAATCGAATTGGTTTTCTAGTGGTTAGTTCATTAGTCTTGAACACAGATAAGTCGATAAGAACCAAATTCGTTTACCCTTCGAGACAGCCGGGGAGAGACAGAAGATCTCTCAGTTCTCGCAGGGTATTGCCATAAGTTTGTGGACTTGAAAAATCTCTTGAAGAAGACATTCTTGGTACGATCAACTCTCTTTAAGGCAGATAGCCGCGACCCTGCGAAGCAATTTTACCGATCAGTCGGTTTATAGAGTTGTGTCCTGGGAGTTACAGAAAAAAAGTGAAATTCAGTCGGAACCATCGAAACAGCCATGTCCGCCTTGAGTAAGGTGTCTGCCTTAAAGTAGTGTCCAGTTTGAGAGAGTTGACTGTGCTTCAACTGGTGTTGACCGGTTTATTAATGGGAACAGGAAACATTTACAAGTGCGGGAAAACGCAACCGACGCGCCGACAGCCGGCAGCCGTGATATGATAAGCGCGGGAGAGCAAGTAACTGGCAAGCGCGGGAAATCATCACTGGTGACCGTAAGCGCGGAAAAAGTCGTGTAAGCCATTCGTTGTGCACTTGATTGGCTGAGTAGGGAAACTCCTTCGCTCTCATTGGCCGAGAACACTTGACGTGTTTTATCACCATCATATCGATTAGACGCTATCTTTCGAGCGGACACCGAGTGCAAGTAAACACCGTGTACACAAGGTCGAGTTTTCATTAACGCTTCAGGCGTTTTAATGAACCTTTCAACAACAAACGATAAAAAAGATTGCACACTGCATAAAAGAAGTGATCGCTTTATTAAAATTCTCTCAAGAGTTAGTTCTGAAATAAGCACAGTTTATCATATTTCATTTGCGAAAGTCGAGACATGGATGAAAGTGTTCAGTAACACTTACTTTTGATAAAAACCCATTTACATTTATTTTCACCAAAAAGATGCCAGAAGAAATATTTCCATTTAGGAACATTGTTTAATGGGAGTTTAATCTCAAATATATTTTTCAAATCGGCAATGACTATTAACATTAGCCTTATTCACTATCCTTGAACTTCATAGATATCTCTTTAAAGTACAAAATTACACTGTCATATTAAAAATGCAATTTCTAAAAGCTGCACAAGACGCTCGAGAAACAATTCCTCCATTTTCTTATCGAGTTTATCTTTGTATTAGCAAAACGAATGAATGAGTATAAATATGCAATTCCAACATTCACCGGTCAGACAAAATGTTTTGATTGTCCAGCAATTTATGCACTAACCAATCCCATTTACGAACTTTTTTAGTGAAAGGCAGAAAAACTGCTAAAACGTCATTTTTTCTATTCTCGTAAGTGCACAGCACGAACTTGATGTTTAATCTATTAAATAGATTTTAACGGCTGCAGTGGCTTTCTTAACCTGGGACAAAAGTTTAATTACGAAGACTTCTACTAATAAACTACAATCATTTATGAACGTTTCAAAAAAGTAAACATATTCCAAATGTATCAAAAGTATGACTACTCTATACAACGTCACGATTATCAACAGTTTCTTAAATAAACTGCCAGATTATCGTTATTAAACAGTCTTACCCCAATATAACAAACCCGTTCGGTTGCCCTTTGTGACATAAGCCTTACGTCCCTTCCAAAATTACTGCGTACATTTTGCCACTCAGAAAGATCGAAGATAATCAGTCGCGCGGTGGCCTAAAACTAAATGCGTTGAAGTTCGGTACAGAGTTAGCAACATTTGCACCCATTGTAGGCCTGGGTACCTTGCGCCGGATGGGTATAACACAGTGTGTAACGTACACAGTTATTTTTCTAAGTTTCTGCAGCAATACTCTACGTCTTTTCGGCTTCTGTAGCCACTGAACGTTACCTGTATATCAGTTGATCAGTCACGCTCAGTGCTGCGGCTAAGAGAGCTTCAAAATAATTGTCAAACGAGAGATTGTTGCAGTAACAGGAACATATATCAACGTTTAATGTTAAACTACTTACACCAGTACACAAACTGACGGAAGTTTCAACTCGTTTAAAACAAGTATTCTAAGATCTCCATTACCACGGTGTTCCTCAGCCCTAAAACCAGAGTCTGACAAACTCGCATTTAATAGAAGTATTTTGGCCGCGATACCTCATGAGGATTCCGGCCATAACAGTGTCAGGTCGCTATTTCCAACCTTCTTGAATGTCAGGTCGCTGTTTGCCGGTCCGTTTTTCACGGTCAAGTTGAACGGCTTTTTACCCAGTTCGCATTTCACGCGCGAATCCACGCGGACATCTATCATCCTTCCAAACTTCCTGTAAACAGCAAAGCACGTCATGAATTAGCTAGAAGTTACAAAGTTTTTCTCCCTTCCGGTAGTGAGATAGGTCGTCATAAGATTCCTACTTGAAGGAGCTGTGTTTACGGACAGCACTTTCAATTTTTCAAGTTCAAAATCTTCCTCGAGTTCTTGGACAAGACACTTAACTCTCACAGCGCCTTTCGGTTGGAGGCGTGGTGGCCTCATGGTTAGTGCACTTGTCTCGGGATCGAGCGGTCCGGGTTCGAGCCCTGGTCGGGGACATTGCGTTGTGTTTTTGGGCAAGACACTTTACTCTCACAGTGCCTCTCTCCACCCAAGTGTATAAATGGGGAACTGGCAATTTTAATGCTAAGGTTTGCCCTTGCGATGGACTTGAATTCCATTCAAGGGGGAGGAGAAATACTCCTAGTCGCTTCATACTCAGTACTGAAACCGGGATAAGTTCCGACATGGTGGTTTGACAGGGGGCTTTATTTTACCTGTAAAAATCTATTTTATACTCACTGGTAGATTTGCAGGTAGAGATTAGCCATGAGTTCTGCGACTCTATTAGCTTTAGACTCGCCGAACAAACAGATGACCAAGTCGTTATGTTGAATATGAACCACAAGCAGCTGATCGTCACCAGGCGACAGACTCACGCCCGTCACCTGCAAAACAAGACAAGCCAGACTGTGAGGGTTACACTGATGACACACTACCCACCGCGGCCCTGTTACTCAAGGCGAGCTAAACCGATTTTCAATCGAGTCTCGTAAAACCAAACATTACTAACCAATTATACTACTCAAGTAATCTCAAACCGTTGTAGCACCAAAACCAAAGTAATTGCCTGATTACTTTCGACACTCAATTGAAAACCGCTCTAATCTGGAATTAGTCAAAACTTAAAACGCATCACTTCTTTCCTGATTGTTGTTCGATCATTTATAACCTTATGTCAAACTGGGTAACAACATAGGCACGCAAGACGTGCAAGAGTTATTTTTTTCTGTGAAGTTTTGGAGATAGAAGCATTCATGGTACAGTAATGATTTGGTTAATTT